AGTTCAGAAAATGATTTCAAAATGAATAAACAATCTCACTTCTTCTTTGACCAAGAAACCAAGACCAAATTCTCACTCCTAGCATGGAGGGAGAAAAGTAAATCTGGAGAGAACAGAAAATGGATATAGAGCAAAAATTGAATGGAGAAATGAAAATAATATAAATTGATCGAGAGGTGGGTGCGGGTCTATCTAATGGATCGTGTAGGCCCTATTCTAAAATTGAGACATTATCCAAATTGACTTTTAACTATAATAAAACTAAAATGATTATAATACCATTATTCAAAATATAATATCTTTCTTTATTGTTTAAAATAAAATTATCTATGATCTCTCTGATTTTCGTATTCTCCATGAGATCCTTTTCAGTTGTTATCATAACTAAAATTATCTATTAAATTCGTCATCATATTCATAATCTATCAATCATACACTAAAAAGACAACCTGCAATATTCGATCAGTAACTAACGAATCTAAGTGGAGGTCCTGTGCCGGAAGGCGGGCCGGCACACCCTCTTGGCCGGCCTTGGCAAGGCCCCTCCCAAGAGGGAGCTGAGGAAGAATGCAGTAGCGAGTAAGGACACCGTCGCGAAATGAGGAATGGAAGATCCAAGATATGGAAGCCAAAGGCAGTGAAGGTTGACCTTGAGCTAATTAGGCACCAACAAGTTCATTGGCCAATGCCACAGTTGCTAGTTATTATGTTACGTTATGTGTCAAATGCTTCAAAGAAAAAAGTTTGGGGTTGGGATTTGGTTTCCCATCCATGTGTTTTTCTGTTCATATAGGCGGAGCATATCAAAATAAGAAGACCTACTTGTGTGTTTGGTGATCAAATTTGTATGAATCTATTGACTTGCCATAGCTATATATATTTTCTGGTAATGCGTCGATATGCACAGGGCTGATTATGATTCCTTGTACAAATTATTCTGATTTTAGTCTAGTAGTATTGTCTCTCAACTGTCAAAAGAATGGTCGAGGGTTTGAAGGCACGTAGCTCCACTTTCTCTCTGTTTTCTCATTTTGCACTTCTCATAGCTTAATTTAAGTTTTAAATGTATCAGTTTGCTCCTCCACCTTGCAACATCATGTTATTCTGAGTGTTTAAAGTTTAAATGTACCAGTTTGCTCCTCAAACTTGCAAATTATGTTATTTTGAGTAATTGAAGTTTTAAATATACCAGTTAGCTCCTCCAACTTGCAAAATTATGTATTATATTTCAAAATGTGGTACAAAAATTTCAGGTTTACTGGTATTTTGAGTGATTTTAATGATCTTTGTGTTACTCTATATTATTTTGATGTCGAGGATACCTTCCATGTTCACCATCTTTGGTGATGCCGTAATCGGGCAAAACACCGTGGTCACCGGCCATCGACCTAGTTGAGAGCTGAGCGCTACTAAAGAGTTATGCTATATTATTACTTTGATCAAAAAAATCCCCCCCCCCCCCCTCAAACTTGAAATCCTCGCTTCGCCCCGCGATATGCACATGCAAGATTGGGACCTTCAACCATCTTTGCTTCTAGTCAATCCGCCGAGGTGTGTTGGGAAGTTTTTCCAATCAACTAGGCCGATAAGAAAACCATCCCATATTGTTAAGTGCATTCCTCTTTTACTCATTAAAGCAATCTCAGTCCCAATATAATCAAAATCAAGTCGGTATTAAAGAGAGTTACAAGGAGACCTAAAAGTATGCTCTCTCAAGAAGAACGAGTATTTTAAGTAAACAAGGTAATCAATAGTAAAGTTGGCTTCATGATATATATGCTCTGACATTATCATCTCCTATTGTAGGGTTTAGTCCATTGAGATGAATTTGGGATGACAACGGATTGGGTGGATAGCGGATATTGCATATCCATTATACTATTGTACGAAATAATATATAAAAATGATGATCAATTTGTCGCCAAAATTACTTACACCTATAATGACAACATTAAGCTCCATTGGAGCCATCACTCAACCTCTTACACATACACGCTAAAGCTATAATAAAATACAAATATGCTATTCTTAAGCTATACAAAATGATATATGATTACTCTTGAAAGTCATGCTTCCCCTAGTGACTTTGCCTTCTTGCTCCTCTTTCATCTTCTAGTGATTTCTCCTTTGTATTGCATGCATTACCATTTCAAACAAACATCATTGAGGAGAAGCTTCGAATTGAATAATGAGAAAGTATGGAGAGGTTGGAGCTTGTAAGGAGATGGTTAATGAGGACATGTGAGAGCTTGGTAACAAAGATGCGGCGCTTCGTCTTAGAGTTAGAATTTATTCTTGATATGAAGGAATTGTGGGAAGACTTCTATACATAAAAAATAAAAGCCATAGTCAAAAAAACCAAATAATGAGGACATGTGAGAGCTTGGTAACGGAGATGCGGAGCTTCCTCTTAGAGTTAGTAGAATTGGGGGAATCCTTTATTCTTGATGTGAAGGAATTGTGGGAAACTTCTATACTTAAAAAATAAAAGCCAGGTTCAGAAAACCAAATAAGGGGAAATTTAAATTTTTAAACAAGAGGGGAAATTTCTATGTTAACATTATAACCTAAAAGAGGGTGGACTTTTTTAGTGTTGCCTAAGTAGAAGAATATGCAACTAACGATAATTGTGATGTACAAGTGTTGTCCAATATAATTGAATGCAAAAAAATTTAATTATGTTGCGTAATGGGATCATTTAAGCAACACATAATAAAAGTGTTGCTCTAGTCTACATTATACAACATTTTTTTTTGTTGAGAAAGTAGTGCCGCAAAAGACCACCACTTGTCCCGTAATGATATGTTCGCTCTTCTTATGAGACTAGCTGAAGCTCTATAGGAGTAGGGATGGCAATGAGGCGGGTTTTCCTAAACCATCCTCATCCCCGCTTTCAAATATCCATACCCATACCCGCCCCATACCCATGTGGGGGAAGGTTTTGCAAACCCATCCCTATACCCGTGGGTTTCAGGTATCCATGGCTAATACCCGCCCCATACATCCAACATTGTAATAGCTAATATTTTACATGTAGATTTTTCAATTATAACATGAAAAGAGTCTACTATATCATGAAGGCGACAAAGAGACAATCATTTTTAATACGATTCAAAGCATCTTTTCTTAAAACATCCATTAATCCATAAGATAGAGTACAATGTAATCCAAATCATTATTCTATACTCTTATACATCTATTAAGTAATAATTAACTAACATAATCTAATTTACAAGGGGGAAAAGTGATAGAGTGAAGGGAAAATTGATAAAAAGAAATTAGATTTTGATTTGGGTGGCCACTCAATTGCATATCTACTATATATTTTCTTTAGTTATACTCACTATTGTTGATAGATTACAAATTGATTCACATATTTTTCATGTGTGAAGAAATATTTTTGGTGGGGCGGGTATGGGGCGGGGGAGGATAAAACCATACCCGCCCCATACCTATCAAACTTTTTGCGGGTTTTTACCCATACCCACCCCATCCTGATAGCGTCGTATTTGCACATGTGTGCACCCTTGTTTCCTGACCGTTTTAGCTTGAGTTTTTGGTTCCTTGGACTATTTTACGCTAGGTTGTGTTGTTTTGTCATATCTCAACTCCTAGCGAGTAAAGGGAGGCATAGGCACAAGTTTTGGGTCGTTTGGAAGTCGTTCGGTGAAGCTGGAGCCAAAACACGGGCAGCCTTGACCAAAACATGGTCGTGTTCCTCAGGCCATGTTTTTACTGCCGAGAGCATGTATGAGAGGGCTGCTGAGGGTCCAAGCCACGGGTGGCACTGGAGCAAAACACGGTCGTGTAACTTATGGGGCACGACCGTGTGTTGGGAGCGACGCGGCCGTGTCTACCTTGATTGAAGCAAAACACGGGCGGGATGAGGCAAAACACGGCCGTGTCCTCGATCGTGTTTTGCCCAGAATCGGGTTTTTGAGGCAGATTCGAGCCAAAGGAGAGGGAGACGACTTTTTGAGCAGAAAACAGAGTTTTAGAGAGGGAAAGTGCAAACAAACCTTAGGAGCTATTTGGAGTGGATTTCTCACAATTAAAGCTCAGATTGCATCCCCAAGAGTGAAGATCGACATCTCAGAGCAGATTATCCCCATATTTATGAGTATGACTGGTCTGATTTCTGTTTTCCTCTCTCTCTCTCTCTATGGAGTAGACCCTTCTCTCACTTGGGTATGAAGAACCCTAGTTCCATGTATTAGGAATCTTGATTGTAATGACGTTTGGATTGATATACTGCTTGATTATAATCGATTGATTCATGATTCATTGAGTCAATTGAAGCCTGATCAACTTTTCTTGATTTCCGCTGCTACCTGAGATAGATAGAATCTGATTAGGTTGTTAGAGCTTCATCAATCGGTAGTAGTAAATTGGTTATACGAGAGTTAATCGATTTACTGCTTTGTACTGGAATCCGATTCCAGTAGTGGAGTTATGTGTTCATTGCCTCGGCAGTCTACCCCAGTGAAGGCTAGTCGCCTGCCAGTTAGTCTGACTGAGAGGGCTTGGTTAGTTTAAGAGATTCCAAACTACTGTCGGATCTTCCGCAGTATATCAATAGTAAATCAACCAAAGGAAATTACAACTTTGACCTAACTAAGGACCTAGGGGGACTCATTCCCGAGTGACTCTTCCCTTGCTTAGGAACTTCGAACCATTTCCTGCTTTCTTACCGCTTTAGCTAAACCAATTCAACCAACCTAGTTTGCTAGATAATACATCATCACGGAGTAGGCAGTAGATCTAGACCCCTAGGCAATAAATCATCCGGGCTGCAATTACACTTGGTCGCAGTTTGGTGTTGTGTTCTAGCGTGTCACATACCCAGTCAATGCGGGGATTCCCCGCGTTGACTGGGTCGAGGGCGGTCGGATACCCGTGGGCATGGGTTTGATTGCCATCTCTATGTAGGAGCAGCACCATCTTAGGCTCGGTAGAGCAAAGTATAACAAATTTATAAAATAACAAAATAGATTAAAGTATAACAAATTTATAAAATAACCAAATTGTGTGAAGCATAAAAAGTTAAACAAAGTGTATGAAAACCCTCCTATTTTGTAATTCTTCCACTCCAAAATTTCTTTTATTGTATTTAGGAAAAACATTTTTAATTTGTGAAATACGGAAAGAAAGAGGTTTTCAGCATATTAATGATGTTGTTGTGGTAGTAGAACTGCTTTGATTTTGTATTATAATTCTTTTTCGCTAAGAATTTGATTTATGGTGTTGCTAGTAATTCGTATCTAAGTTTATATTGAACAAATTTTATATATGTCCAAACCCTGACGACAGAGGGGACATGTCAGTGGACTTGCCCGACGTCTATGTACCACCCAGCTGGCCACGCAAGCGTGGTGATACGTACGGAAGACGAAGATCGTCTCCGACCTAGCAAACTCTTCCAAGCAGATCGGGCATTCTCGGTTCGCTCTGGAGCCTATATGCTTTGCCACATCTGCGAAGCTCCTCTCCTAGGAGGAGGAGACTACCTCGAGCTCTGCTGCGACAGCTGCATGGTCGTCCGCCCCTTGCAGGATCCGGGTTCAGGTTCCCGCGCTGAACCTACTGCTGCTGGATGACAAAGCAGTATAGTAGCCACGAACCTACGCCAAAAACAACGATGAAAAAGAAGACAATCAAGAAGACTACAGGTCCTGAAAGTCCTGATCCTAAGTCTAAATGCTATTAAAATTAACGGGTTGACTAATCATTTATATATGTAAACATTTTACTAATTATCTTTTAAAGTCAAAATATTTGGCTAATAATTGGATTTGCTACTCACCAAAATTTTTGTATATACTCTTAACAATTATTATCTCTAACATTAGCGGTAGACACAAGTTTACCTTTGATTGTGAGCTTTTGATTTGGACAGTCCGGAGAAGCTGGAGTTGCGGTGGTGTGCTAGTGGCTTTCTTGCTATTTGTCTTCTTCACTTGCTACGCCGTATAGAGCTTACCGAGATTGTGGAGGCCCTACTTTCACTATCCTGAACAATCGATTGGGTTGGCTCTTTGCTCTGCATCCGGATGTCCTATTGTAATGTGGCTTCTTCTGGCATATTAGTTTTGATCTCTGTTTTCTCCACTAGTCTTAGTGGGGTTGTTCGTCCGAGCTCGCTTTCTTTCTTTCTTTCTTTTTCTTTCCTTGTAAATTTAAGTTTTACTATTAACAGTATATCAACCTTAATAAGCAGCATGTGAATGGTTATGACCATAATACTTTGGTTGGAATTGTTCAAATATTGGGCTATAAATAGCCATGGCCATAAGCATGTTCCGTGTGTAAGTAATACAAAAAAATGCAAATGCAGACGAAGCCAAGTTGCTTCAATTAAGGGACAGAGCCAGTCTTAAGGCTGGGGGCCATGGCCCCTCCTAAGATTTTAAAAACATTCCCCAGAATATGAGTTGCAAGATAGTGAGTTGTAGCCTATTGGTTGAAGTAGACAATTGCTAACTCTTTTTAGGTGTGGAGGTGAGGAATTGAAGCCGGATATTATCAAATGAATCGTTTATCAATTTATTTGACAAACTTATAAATTATCTTTAAACTATATAAGAATATGAATATTTTTGCGCACCAATAATCTAATTAGAATGATCACTTTCAATGTAGTCAAAATATCATTTTAAAACTTAAAAACGTATGCTTTTACGCTTCTAGGTCACCAAAACGCTTGTACGTGAATCACACTTTTTTTTTTGTAGAAAGACATACACCAATGGCATCTTAGGATGCATTAGAGATTAAACGTTCTTGGGATATACCCATGACACTAAAATTGATCCGGTGGCAAAGGCTTGGATTGTACACATCGATAGAATGTGTACCAAAATGAAGGCTATGGCCTCTATTAGCTAAGAAATCTGCAGCACAGTTACATTCTCTATAAATATGCTCGATCCGAACTTCCCAACTCACTGAAAGAAGCCGCTTGAACTCCAGCACGAGGGTCCCATATCTATGTTCATCGTCATCCCTGTTCTTGATGATGCTGATAGCAGTGGTAGAGTCCATACACACCTTGATTTTCCTGTATCCTTTCCTCCATGCTATTGCAAGTCCTATTTCATCAGCTTTCAGCTCTGCTCTTGTAATAGTGCAGTTGCCGAGATTCATTGAGAAGGCCTCATGGCATCGTCCGAGGTGGTTTTGCAAGAGTCCTCCGCCTCTTCAGCAATCACAGATCCGTCTGTGTTAAGCATCATCCATCCTTCATTGGGAGGTGACCAAGCAAGATGCCTCCTCACTTTCTTTGTAACATCCCCTGCCTTGATCATTTCATTGTTCTGTCTTGCACTTCTCACAGTATTGAAATAGGCAAGGATTTTGTGCAGCAGACTTTGTTCACAATAATTCTTTCCATCAAGGATTTCTTCGTTGCGTTGCTTCCAGATATGCCATAGAATGATCCCAAAGTCAATCCCCTTCTTTCATCCTTCAAGTTTTCGATGATCCATCTCTTGAAAGGGATGCTGCTATCAAAGACAATAATAGAATGTCTGAGCTTCCTCCAGAATTCTTCAGTTTTCTTGCACTATCTAAGAATGTGTTCTGTTGTTTCTTGGATACTGCATCCTGGGTGCTTGCAGCTTCCGTCATACGTCAGTTTTGATCGAGCTTTTTGCTGGTTGGTCATTAGTCTCTCGTGCAATGTCAGCCAAAGGAAGTGTATGATCCTGTTTGGTCCTTTCCACTTCCAGAGCTTCCTCCATTCTTCCACTTTTGTTGGCTTCAGCTCCTCGGCAGCAAGCTTGTATGCTGACTTGAGTCTGAATCTGCCATCTGGCTCCAGCCCCCATAGAGTTTTTTCATCACCTTGTCCTTCCTTTGGCGTTTCAGTACCTGCAATTAAAGACAGAACATTCTTAGGAAGTTTTCCATGCAATCGTTCCCAGTTCCAGTCTCCTAAAATAGTGACAAAGTTGCACACAGGTTCCTCCCTTTCAATATCCTCAATATCAGCGAGGAGATAATCTTCAAGCACAAGGCCAGTGTCATCCATGCCTGGCTCCAAAACTTGGTGGATTTTCCATCTCTTAAGTTTGAGATGGCAGCAGAGTCCATAATTGGCATAGCTCGAATGATGCCTTTCCACAATGAGGAGTGATTGATGATTTTCATGGAAGTGATGGCTCCATATTTGTGGTTGAATTACTTTCCTTGAAAGACCTGAACCCACAGAGACTTGTCTTTGTTCAATATCTGCCAAGAGAGCTTAATGAGGAAAGCCAAATTGAGGCTTCTGACAGTCCTTAAACCTAGTCATCATTGGTCCTTGGGTTAACAAATCATATCCCATGAGACCAAGTGAACTTTCTTTTTCACATCTTGAGAGCCCCAAACAAATCCTCTGATCATTCTGTCAATTTCATCATAGACTGTCAAAAGGAGAACAGAGGTTTGCATAGCATAAACGGGAATTGCATTCAGAACAACAGTTGCTAGTGTGACTCTGCCCACAAGGGAGAGGGTTCTAGCTTTCCAAGATGTAAGCTTCATGTCAATTTTTTTCCAGAATGTACTTATAAGTGCACCTTTTAACTCTACCATGCTGGACGGGGACACCTAAGTATTTGCCTAGGTCATGAGTGCTTTGTATCCCTAGTCTGTTGCATATGCAATTCCTATCAATAATTTTAACATTCTTGGAGAAAAAGACACGAGATTTATCCTTGCTAATGAGCTCCCCTAAAGTATTACAAAACCTTTCAATACAATCCATAGCCACATCTGCTTGCCTAGTGTTAGCTTCAGCAAAAATAACAAGGTCATCAGCAAATAACAAATAAGACAAATCAGGTCCATCTTTTGAGAGTCTTATTGGTTTCCATCTTCCTTCCCTAACTTCTCTAGATATGCAGTGTCCTAATCGTTCAATGCCGCTAGAGCTCTTTCGCACATTTTACCGTTGCAAGAGGAGAGAGGGCATATGATTTTCTCTCTCAACCTTTACCTTTATCTCTCTTCGTAATCACACTTTTTTCTTACTAATGTACTCAAGATCACGCTTTAAAGAAAACGCTTTAACGTTTCTAGGTCACTAAAATGCTTCTACATAGAATCATGTTTTTTCCTTATTAATGTAGTCAAAATCAAGCTTTAAACTTAAGCATTTATGCGTCTACCTAAAATCATGCTTTTGATTGGATTGAACACCATTTATAGATGATATTGATAAGATAATTCTAGGATATAGGTTTTATCATTCATATATTCAAGTGGATTAACAAATATTATTAATTTTACGTTTTTGTAAAATCATATCATACATCAGACCAGTTATTCAAGCTCTTATGGCAAACCATGAACAATAGTGATAAATCATACTATTTGGTGAACAGAAAATTTCTGAATCCGTCTCTGCGTCAATTTGCTAGCAATTTCCATCTCTCGCAATAACAGATCCCAAACTTTCCTTTTGTTTCAATCTAGTCCCCAAAACCCAACGTTGTAAATTAAGTCTTACTTACAAGTACAACATACATGTTTATTATTTGCCTGGCCATATACTAGATTCTAGCCTGGCCCGTTGGCCGGTTGCAATATGATGATACTAACTAACAAAGTTTCAAATTTTAAACTTCAGTAACTCCAATTCCATTATATTTGTTCAAGGATTATATGTCAATGTCATGCAAATTAACAAATAACGATATCAATTTTACTAAAAGAATTTGCCTCATTATAGTTGCAAAAATAATCGGTAGCACCTCTTAATCAACAATCTTCATCATGAACTCTGCTACATTCATCATCCATAGGTGCTTCACAATAAAGGAAATTGCCTCATTCCATCTGTTAGAATATGACTTGAATTTGATTTGAGTTTGTTTTGTGTTTTAGGCCTATTTTGTTTGGGTTTGAGATTGGGCTTTGTTTGACCTTTTCCTTGTATGTTTCGGAAAAGGTGTTTGGTTTTCTGTTTGGGATTAGGAGAAGAGTTCTATAAATACTCTTCAACACCCTAGTCTGTAGTAAGGTCAGTCAGGTTAGTTTGTTTGGTTTGTCCGTTTGGAATTTGGTTTGTAACCTGTACTCTCCTCAAAATCAGTGAAATTTGTTCTCCCTTGCCCGTGGATTAGCTAGCACACATTGTGTTAGTGAACCACGTTATATTTGTCTTTGTTCGTGTTGGTTTGGATTATTGATTGCACGCTTCTGTTCTGACAAGTGGTATCAGAGCCTTTGGTTGCGGTTTTGGTTGGCGCTGGACTGAAGTTTTGCTTTGTGGAGTTTGGTTGGAGTTTGTTTGATAGTAAGAATGGCTGCTATCAGTATGAAGATCGAGAAGTCAATTTGGAGTTGCAGGCTTGGAGTTAGCAGTAAATTTGATGTTGGTGTTATGGACGAAAATAACACCAAGCTGGTTCTGCATGGCAAGTCCCAACATAAGTTGGACTTGCTGCATGTTTTTATTTGTTGATCGCCCTTAGGGGCATTTGGAGGCAGGGGAGATTCTGGTACAGCTGATTTGGAGAAGTTTGGTACGTTTGACAATTTTGATTGCATCTGAGTTTGGCGATTTGCATCGCGTTTGGTCTGGCGATATGAATCGCATTTGGATATGTCTGGCAATCTTGATTGCGTTTGAATTTGGCGGTTTCGATCGCATTTGGATACGTCTGGCGATATGTATCGCGTCTGGGTACATTTGGCAACTTAGGTTGCGTCTGGTACATCTGGCAACTTTGGTTG